GAGAGAGAGAGAGAGAGAGAGAGAGAGAGAGAGTTACAACCTGTGCTACAAGCCAGGCGGCCTTTGGTGGAAGGGGGGGGGTCTTCTGGGTACCCATCCCAGCCGGGTCCAGGTAGGGTCCCAGGCAGTTCCAGCATAAGGTAATAAAAAATGAAAACAAAAGCGGGAAAAAAAAAGTTGTGTAAAATAATACCGTGTCAGAAATTGCATTCCAAACAACTTTTGGCTGTGGTTCACCTTGAAATTCCATATGAATTTTGAGATAACATAAAAGTCCAGTTGAAATGTACCCCTTCAAAGTTTGACATTTGAACCCCTTTATTTATTGTAACGTGATACCCCCCTGTCCCCCTGAGTGACCCATAACCCATTTGGAAGATACGGCTGGATTCTGACTGCTCACTCCAAGTGCACTCCTGGCCTGAAGTCAGAATTCCTTTTTTTTATATAAATAATTTAATAAATTCAATTGATCCTTGACTCTCTTCTGACCCCCCATTTTCCCTGGGCAGGGCCCCCTGCATGCTGGCCGCGCAGGCCAATAGCCTAGGTTGAAACAGATTTCTGATATGGTGAGCCCATACCTATAACAACGGTACCGGCCTAGGGCGAAGGTAGACCAACTAACAGCTTTGGGTCTCTAGACTCTCTACCTTTTGAGTAACAACAGTACCAGTTTGAGGCAAAAGTAAGGAACATCCAGTTGAGGCCTGAACGAGGTTTTACGCCCAGTAGGCGCCATTTCTGCAGTGGTTTAAAGAATTTGCAAAAAAGTCCCTCTTGGTTTTAGGCCAGTTTCAATAATCGGTTAGGACCCAAAACTCTGAAAATTTGCAAAATGGTCCCAGTTAGTGCCACAGCCCCTGGGAAACTGCAAGGACAATGCAGGAAAGGCTGTCTTTTTCAATGATTATTAAATTTTAATTAATATTTGATTATGTTTCAAATTTTAATTACTTTCTAATGATCTTTAGACTGAAAAACAAAGGAGCAAAGCAATTCTTACCATGACATTTCGTTGTCATCAACTAAAAATGTGTACGAGTTCTGAAAAGCATCCTTAGATTCCTTACCATTTAGTTTTATGATTTTATCCAAGTGCCATGGCCTTGTGTTTTATGAACTTTTATCTTCCTTTTTTTTTTTTTTTTGTGAATGTTTTCTTCACCACGCAGACATCGCATTCCCTTCACCCATCCAGGCACCACATGGCACATAGTGTTTTTTTTCTTAAAATTTTCACTTCGTTTTTTATTCTTTGTACTAACACGAGCAAAAAAAAAAAAAAAGAAAAAAAAAGAAAGGCACCACGCTGCGTTCCACTTGCCTGTCCTTTCTTGAACAGGTCGATATGGTGGCCGCAGGCGATATACCCCTTCTGAATCTGTTTTTCTTTCTCCTGGGAGAGGCGGGGTGATGGCTGAACATCATCAATTCCAATGGAGAACCCCTGGTTGCCGATCCACCTAGCACTGAGCTTGGCCATTCTGTTCATGCAAGCCGCTGCGGCTTCGGAAGAATAATCGCGAAGCAACACGCTGAACAAACCATCTTTATTTCCGTTCCCGAGAGTGGCCTTGCCGACCTGACCGCTGATCAGTTCACTGTCACATCATCGCATCCGCACCGAAATTCAGTGTGAATTTGTGAAATTGCTGTGTTAGTCTCCGAGCAGCCCGGATGGGGGAAGGTCGCCCGGGTACCCTCCCGGGCGGCGGCCCAACATAGTGAAATTGTGAATTAAAAAATTCGGTGTCAAATTGTCAATCACAAACCCAGTCATTCAAGAGTGCTCTACCCTGCAATATGCCGGAGCATGCAAACAGTGGGAAAAAGGACTGCCAAAAAGGTTGAAACTTGACAATAAGCAGAAACTTTGAAAAAGGCTAAAAACTTGAAAACTTAGTAAAAAGCACTAAAAACTTTAAAACCGCCTGCTTGTTTGCAGTGTAAGGACCTGCCAAAACACGGACTGAGAAAACAGCTGATTGCTGAGTGTTGCCACTGGAATGAATGCCTTGGCGAGATTCCCGCTTTTGCTGAGTTTTCTAAGTCTGTGTGTGTGCGTGCTTGCTGGTCTGCGTGCCCGTCTGCATGCTTGTTGGCTTGAGCGTGTGTGGCCAGCCAGGGCACTCGTTTGTTTGGGAGGCCCCGCAGGGCCGGTACTTACCTGTGGCATTTTTTAGAGGCCCAGTAGCGGTAGGCTAGGTCTAGGCGAGTACCAGTCCAAGTAGTCTCAGTCTAGGGATTGTACGGGCGATATCAGAGTCAGCAATGATGTTTCCCTCCGAAAGGGAGGAGGTACCGGCTGCTTGGAGGCCGCGCGGCCTGGACGTCACCGCCCAAGAGGCAGATAGGCCGCTATGTTTGCAAGAGGAGCGAAGTGCTCCTCATTTGCTGCATGCAAGTTTAGCCGACACTCTGCTGGAGCGCGTGGTGGAGCAGCGCTAGTGTACTGCGCTGTGGGGAGAAGAGGAGCACCCAGCTCTCCACCTTAGCTATGGTGGAGGAGCTCGGGGGAGAGGAGGAGGAAGAAAGAAGGGACTAGGAGAGACATCATCTTCATCAACCTTGGTGGGGGCTGCATCAGGAAGACCCCCGTTGGGGTAGAGCTGCATCAAGAAGCTTCGAGGCAGAGTCAGGCATGGCAGCCTGAGTGGAAGAGGCCATCCATAGCTGCTTTGAGGTTGTCCTCTGCACGTCAGGGCAAGGCCCTTAATAGTCCACCATAACCTCAGCCTGGAAGAAGAGAGAGAAGAGGGCCGCCATGGCTATGGCGGACCTCTTGTTGTGCTGGCAGTAGAAGAGGGATTCGGACATTGATTCTAGTTCTGACGTTCATCGTTATTATTTTATTTATTGTTTGAATAAGAGGGGAGGAGAAAAGGAGGAGGAGTTCGGTTGGCGAGAAGAAGGGAGAAAATTATCATGGGTCTTTTGCTGGTGTTGTAAATCTTCTTCTTCTTCTTTCCCTCTCTCTCCTCTCAAGTTCATTCATATCTTTTCGTTATTGCACGGCATTGTGCTTTCTTCAAGTTTCTTGTGAATTTGTACTTCGAAATTCGCCAGGATCGTAACACCAGGAAAAGAAAAAAAAAGAGCTCGCGGTTATACTTTCCAAACGCTTTCACCCTCAAAAATGGGTCTTCTAATGTCTCCAGTGGACGTGCGATTACCGTTCCTTTGAGCCTCCTTCCGAGTCCTTTGCCTGCGTCTCGTTTTTTTTTGCTAATAATAGCAAGAAATTGGTACAGGCAGCAAAAAAGAAGAAGAAGAAGAAGAAGAAAAGAAAAGAAGACGCTGACACAGGCTGTACAGTGTATACACTGATAAGTTGTGATAACGAACTTCTTAACAGAATTCAGTAGCACACCAGTTCATGCGTCTCGTTTTTTTCCGCTGATAATAGCAAGAAATTGGTACAGGCTGTCCTTCGGGACATCCGTTAAAATTGGAACGATACAGAGAATGAAGATTAGCATGGCCCCTGCGCAAGCAAGGATGACACGCATTAATCAAGGAAAAAAAAAGAAAAAGAAAAAAAGGAAAAAAATTGGTACAGGCAGCAAAAAAGAAGAAGAAGAAAAGAAAAGAAGAGGTTGACACAGGCTGTATACACTGATAAGTTGTGATAACGAACTTCTTAACAGAATTCAGTAGCACACCAGTTCCAACTCCAATCCAAGAAAAATTCAATCGCCTGGTGCGCTGTTCTATCACCTTCAAGTTTCAACCAAACAGAATGCTCGGTCATTATTGCCGCATCTTGACCGAAAATTGCCCCAAATACAGCTACTAAATTATTAATAGCCTATTATAATGACTGGCCTTTTTTTTTCTATTTGGCTAAAGACAGTAGTAGTCGATAGTGTGACCATCAGCTATTTTACTAGAAATTCCACAAGGCTACATGCTTCCCCCGAATGCAACCCACCCGGAGCATCAATGTATACATGAGATCTTTCCAGTCATACAGTCATAAATAATGAGGCTGTGTTATGTTCGGGGAAAAAGGGCAGCTGGAATGAAGAATCAGCCGAACTGCCTGACTGGGAAGTGGACTAGTGTTTCTTTTGGGGGGGGGTGAGGGGGAGGTGGCAGAGGAGGGGGGCTGTCTCTTATACACATCTAGATGTGTATAAGAGACAGCCATAATGTCGTGGAAGTAGAGGATGCAAGGACCAACAGCTAGGGAAAAGAAGAAGAAGAAGAAGAAGAAGAAGAAGAAGAAGAAGAAGAAGAAGAAGAAGAAGAAGAAGAAGAAGAAGGAGACAAAGAATTAGTAGTAGTAGAAGAAGAAGAAGAAGAAGAAAAAGAAGAAGAAGAATAAGAAGAAGAAGAAGGAGACAAAGAATTAGTAGTAGTAGAAGAAGAAGAAGAAGAAGAAGAAGAAGAAGAAGCATCCCCGCAGATCTGGCATGGCAAACAGATACGAGACGGCGACCAGACATATGGCAGACTTCATGTTACATTATCAAAACTGGCTGCCTACAAGTGGTCATTCGAGGTGGAGTTTCCCACCACACAACCTCGTATTTAAACCGCCACTACCTCCGATGCCTTTCTAGATGAAGAGAAAGCTGCTGGTGAAAGGTTGGAAACTATTGGACCGAGTTTTGGATTGACATTATGACTCAGTACACATAGAGCATTGCTTGCGCCGAGATGCTGCCAACACCATACCTGTAAAAGGAATTGGCCACAAAACCCTTGGCCTGAGGGGACTTGTCATGCTTAGGGAAATGTGGCAGACTGCGATCGATGAAGCCGTTGGGCGCACGCTTTCCAGAAACACTCTGTTGACCGACACAAGCAACCATCTGACTGATGTTGATTGGTGAACCCTTCGACCCACATTGGGACATGATTAGTGGGCTGTTGTGCCATGCCAGCTCTCGAAGACACACTTTGCCTGCATCCTCTCGAATCTTGTTCAGTTCTCCCATAACCTCCGCCTCTAGTGTCTGAGCCGCATTACAACCTGGTTGCAGTGCCAGCTGTGGGGATTTTCCAAAAAAAGTCAAACAAAGATGGACAGCAGCTCAGTGCCCGAAACCTCAGTCAGCAGGCTTGCCAAGGTAAGACGGTTTCCAGATAGGCAGTCAGCGAACACGGGCAGCAATGTGTGTGTGTGTGCTGTCTCTTATACACATCTAGATGTGTATAAGAGACAGACCACCACCACCACCACCACATCGACATGGAGCAA